GATGAGCCGGCTCTGGAAAAGAAAACTCAGCTCCAAGATAAGGTTGCTCCAGTAACCAGCGATAACAGTGACAGCAGCAACACCTCGCAGTTTGAAGAAAACCCCGGGGATTTACCTGACGATGCCACCAAAGGGGACACCAATGTGAGTCTGGCTGAAAATGATGGCAAGGGCAACTTAAATACACAAGTAAATCAGAGGAGTCTAAGAAGGATGATGAGCAGTCAGCTTCTGATGGTGGAGAGAAAAGCGGTGACAATGGTGAGAACTCAGGTGGAGAAGGGAATTCTGATGACAAGTCGGATTCTGAAGAGAGCAAGGAGAAACCTGATTCTGATGAGAAGGACAAGAAATCTGAAAAGAGCAATGAGAAATCTGAATCTGATGGAAAATATGATAAATCTGATTCTGATGATGGTGAAAAGAAGCAAGATAAAAACTCCTCAGAAACTAATGGAGATCAGGGGGATGGTCAGATAGAGAAGGTTGATCAAAATGATAATAATGAGTTGGATAAAGGCTCTGATGAGGCAAACGATGGTGTTCAGGAGAAAAACCAGAGCTTGACTGATGTTTTCCCATCTGTTGCTCAATTTGAGTTTTTGAATGAAACCACGACTCAAACTGGATCATTCTCTACCCAGGCATCAGAATCAACGGCTGAAAAAGAGTCTCAGTTATCATTCAAGAAATACAGTTGGAAGGTGTGCAATTCCACTGCTGGGCCTGATTATATCCCATGCCTTGACAATTTGGAAGCAATCAGGCATCTCCATTCTACCAAACATTATGAACATCGAGAGAGGCACTGTCCGGAAGAACCACCAACTTGCCTTGTCCCTCTTCCTGAAGGATATAAACTGCCAATTGAGTGGCCAAAGAGCAGAGAGAAGGTACCTTAATTTAACATGTGCTGATTCATTTTTTTACTCTGATTCTGTGCTTGATAGGATGAACTAACAGATACTTTCCTGCTGCTGCAGATTTGGTACTATAACGTTCCCCATACCAAACTGGCACAAATTAAGGGGCATCAGAATTGGGTAAAAGTTACTGGAGAATACCTCACATTTCCTGGTGGTGGAACCCAGTTTAAGCATGGCGCGCTTCATTATATTGACTTCATAGAAGAGGTGAATGCCCTAAATCAGAGTACTGTTTTCACATTATAGTGTGCTATTATTGCATTCCTAATACTTATATCTCACGTGACAAGTACTTAGATATAGTGTCTTTTGATCTGAGTTACGGCTGAAAATGATATTTACCAAGCACCATAATTATTATTGTCACCTCCATTGTTAGTTTTTTACCGTTATTGGTTGACTTAGATTAGTGGATAAGTTTCATGGTCAAAATATTTTCCCCTCTCACAATTTGTTCTTTGAATATTTGCTTAATTTTTTATTTCTTTTTCTGCAGTCTGTGCCTGATGTAGCATGGGGAAAACAAACTCGTGTAATATTGGATGTTGGATGTGGGGTTGCTAGCTTTGGAGGTTTTCTTTTTGACAGAAATGTTGTTGCTATGTCCTTTGCACCTAAAGATGAGCATGAAGCTCAAGTACAGTTTGCACTTGAAAGGGGAATTCCTGCTGTGTCTTCTGTGATGGGTACCAAGAGACTTCCCTACCCTGGCAGAGTATTTGATGTTGTTCATTGTGCACGATGTAGAGTGCCATGGCGCATAGAAGGTATTTACAATCTCCATTAGTTATAAGCAGTCTGGAGTCATAATAATCAATTGCTGGAGTTTATTTTATGTACTTTTGTTGCTTGAATATTCACTGGTCTTAATAATATGCAGGTGGTAAACTCCTCTTGGAGCTGAACCGTGTCTTGCGACCTGGTGGTTTCTTTGTGTGGTCTGCTACTCCCATTTACCAGAACAAAGCTGAAGATGTTGAAATCTGGGAAGGTATGTACCATCGTACTATCTTTGTATCTTGTGTGAGAAATCTATTATCTGGAACAGCTGCTAAATTTATGCGTGGATTCTGTGCAGCTATGGTTGAACTAACAAAATCTATGTGCTGGGAGCTTGTAAACAAAACTAGCAAGGATGCAGTAAATGGTGTGGCTGTAGCAGCATTTAGAAAGCCTACTTCTAATGAATGCTATGAGCAAAGGACAAAACAAGAGCCTCCGCTCTGTCCTCAGTCTGATGATCCAAATGCAGCATGGTATTGTTTCTTTGATTTTGATGTAAAAACTATATTCTGGCTAAAAACAAATTAACACTTCTTTGTAAGATGACAACAGAAATATCCGCCGACTGGTTTTCAGTATGCTAACTTGTATTTTTTGAGTAAGCTATCAAATATTTTTTTGGTATCAAAACAGCCATTTGATTTGATTATTTTTTGTAGGAATGTGCCACTGCAAGCTTGCATGCACAAAGCTCCTGTAGATTCAGCAGAACGTGGGTCTCATTGGCCTGAGCAGTGGCCAGCAAGGTTGGAAAAATCACCATATTGGTTGAGTTCTTCCCAAGTTGGAGTTTATGGCAAAGCTGCACCAGAGGATTTTACCGCAGACAATGAGCACTGGAAACGGGTGGTAACCAAGTCGTACGTAAATGGGATGGGAATAAGCTGGTCATATGTCAGAAACGTCATGGACATGAATGCTGTTTATGGAGGGTATGCAAAATTATATATATTCACATTTTTATGAAGTAGGAAGGATTATATTGGTTTGACAGTTTCTGTTTTATTGATTCATTTTCTTTTCGTTAATTCTGACTGTTGTATGCTTACAGCTTTGCTGCTGCACTCAAAGATATGGATTTATGGGTCATGAATGTGGTCCCAATTGACTCACCAGATACACTTCCCATAATATATGAAAGAGGTTTATTTGGAATGTATCATGATTGGTGTGAATCGTTTAGCACCTATCCGAGGTCTTATGATCTTCTCCATGCAGACCATCTATTCTCGAAGGTTAAAAAGAGGTTTGTATCGATATATTTCTTTTCCTGACTTCCATTCTTTACACTTTGCCTTCACTAGGTAAATGTATAGATTTACTACTTTTCTCGCTTATTTTGTTGTTGAATCCTGGGAAAATTCTTAGATTATGCCTGTTGTTGTGTGTGTGTGTGTTTATCGGATTGTTATTTTTCCCCCTTTTAAATAATCAAATCGTTAATGCTACATTCCATCAACCTTTTGTATCATGTAAGGATTAGTATTAAATCCCTGTTTCTGGTCTCTAAGCATTGTGCCAAAATACACTTGACATAATATGATATATCCATGGTCTGCTTTGGCCTGACCTTGTGCTTATGGCATGCAGGTGCAATTTAGTGGCGGTTGTTGCAGAGGTTGATAGGATACTAAGACCTGAAGGAAGGCTTATTGTTCGAGACAACGTTGAGATCATTAACGAGCTTGAGAATATGTTGAAGTCTATGCAGTGGGAAGTGCGCATGACATACTCGAAGGACAAGGAAGGCCTGCTGTGTGTCCAGAAATCCATGTGGCGACCTAAAGAGGTGGAAACAATCAAATATGCCATTGCTTAGGTCATATTCTACGCTTCAATGGATGATGTTTACCGGCACGTTTAAACATCAATTAGGTATTCTTTTTGTTTAGGTTTTGCAAATTGCAATTCATGGTGACTGATACTCCAGGCCTTTACTGGAGGCTTGGCTTGTATCATGTTTCACTAGGGGCTTTCTGATGTTTGTTTTTTTATTGCTTGATTTGTAAACCGTGTACTGTACCTTAGACATTTAATTTTATTTTATTTGGACTCCTTTTATGAGCAAATCTTGATGGGATAATTAATTACTGTTTTAATGATTTTATTAATTTTGATAGATATAATAACAAATTAATATTTAATGTTTACCCTTGTATCAATTTGATCAGAATCAAAAAAAAAAATTAAGACAATAGCAACAAAGAAAACCACGACGACAACATAAAGAAATGGAAACGACAACAACAGTACAAAGCAGAGTCCCAGGTTAATTAAGTAGAGGAACTAAGGTTGTAGTTTTGAAGGGTCTGAAGGTCAGCTCAATGGTGGTTATTTGTGAAGTCCAGTAACGCCCTATGAAAATAAACCGTCCCTGCTCGATTGGACAACTAGATCTTCTGGTGATCTCACCACGGCGTCTTCTTTGGGGCTCACAAAATAAACCAACGATTTCCTCTTCCTCTCCTCATCCATCACTGCCCTATGAATGCAGCCGCTTTTGTATCTTCTGTTACAAAACGCCTACACAGTAACGCTTAACACATTTGATTTTCAGATATCAAATTTTGAATTGTATCATCAAATAAAAACGTGCGGTAACGTATACCATGAAAGTGTCACAAATGTTGATGCCGAACGCATCTTGCCGGGCCGGAACAGACAGCCATTTGTTACCGGAGGAAATTTTGAGCCCTCCGACATGATCTTGGTGAAGCATCATAATGGAATTAGGGTCGCAATGAGGGCTGTAACTGGAATTTTTGCAGGGGATAGTAATTCTCACCTTTTCACCACGAGGGATTTTGTCACCATTGAATTGTCATAGATGGACTATTTTCTCACATGTGAGAATATCAAGTCAACGATATAAATAACTAAAATGACCATTTAAACTAACATTAAGAAATAGCCGATCTTAGTCCCGAAGCATTTCACTGAAAAATAAATAACAGCAATATAGTATTATTTAAATATCCACCTACTTAAATTTAAATAAAAATCTGTCTAAAGTGCTCGTCCACGTTCAGGTCATCACTGGCTGGCAGCCTAAAAGTCAACGCATTCTACACGAGAGCCGAATAGAATGAATCCAACGGTAATTACAGGTCTGTGACAGCAGACAATCAAAATTGAACTGTACGCGTAGAAGGCCGGCTGTGGAAACTTAAATCAAACAAGTGAACCGCCCGGACAAGAAACTAGAAAGGAAAAGCCTTAAAAAAATATATAAAAAAACGTCGTTTTCCATGAATATCTTATTTTTATACTAAAAAAGAAGTCAATCCAATTGAATCTTCAGCACTGTTTGTTTTTCTTTTCCATCTCTTCATCAGAAAGGTAACTTTCTCTGCAGAATTCCCTTTGTTTCCAGTGCGCATGACATCCTTTTTTTTCTTTTTGTACTTTCTGCATTTGGGGGATTACATTTGCTATCTTTGTTCTGTTTCTTCTTTGGTGTAGATATAATTTTTGTTATTTTTATTGAAGGAATGAGATTTGAGCTGATTTAGATATATTTTCATTGCTGGGAACTAAGTTACAGGAAAACAGAAATTCGAGAAACTGAGTATAAAGCAGTTTTCATCTCAGAGAGAAATCTATTTTTCCCATAAATTTCTAGCTGGTTGCTGGGAGATGATTATCGAAGAAGTTAAAAAAGGGAATTTTGGGAATCACAAATTCAGCTTTGAATGGCCGTTGACATTTGAATTTTTAATTTAGTTTCTATAGTTTCTCGGCTTCCTATTGCGTTTAAAATGGAAATTATAGGATTTATGATAGATAAACACACTTCAGATACATAATGGTTGTGGCTCTGTTGAACTACTTTGGACTTTTTAGGGGGATAGATTTGCTTTTCTGAGTTGACATTTTTAGTTCTAATTCTTCTTTTTAACACTTGCTTTCGGTGGAATTTGTCAAACATTAGTTATCTTACTATGGTGCTAGAAGAAAAGGCTCATCTATATCATCTTGAATTGATTTTGATTTGTCTAGTTTTGGGGGTTTTTTTTAAAGAAAAAGAAAAGAAAAAGGTTTCTCCCACAGGTATCGAATTGGCCTTTTACTTCCACGAGAGTTTTCTATAAAGTAAAAGTGATTAGTTGAAAGAAAAATCATTGATTAAATACTAAAAGAATTGTGTTTCATATAGCTCTGAGAGAGAAAATGCTCGACATAGAAAACTATAAGGGTTCTGCCTTGTGCCGTTGAATTTTCAATGCATGCATAAATTTGTTTGTTTCTAATGAACTCAATTTGATGTAAAGGTGTGTTTCTAATTTCATAAAGGTACCAATTCCGCAGGCATGGGAAATACCGAATCAGGATATGATGACACTTCTCACTCTGATTTTTGGCATCAACCTTCTTATGAACCTTCATCTGTAGCAGGAACTTCAGCAGATCGAAACCATCAACCCAGACAGCAAGCCCCATCTATACCTGACAGTTTCAGCTCATTGGATCAGGTTTTTACTGTTACTTTAACTTTGAATTTTAATTTGGCTAATTGGAGATAGTATATGTTGATAGTACAACTCATAAGGTGAAAATATGAACCATACCATAATAAAATGGCAAGTACTGTTTTTTTTTTACTATAGTTGTTGACTGCAAAGTCTTGTTTGAAAAGCAAATACTTTTACAGTTGCATTGCTAGTTTGATATAAAAATGTCCTGTTCTGATATTTGAACTGATACATTAAATTTTAAGCCTAGTGAAACAGAAAATAATCGATTCCAGAATTGATTGGTTATCATGAAAAGAATAATACAAAACCATTCATCATAAATTTAAAGGACGACTTGAATGATTTTAAAATATTGAATGCAGGCTGAGGATACACTTTAGCTGGTACATGGAGAGATGAGGAGGGATTAAGGTAGAACTAAGATCACATGTTAAGCAGTAAAGATGGATTTGACATCTCTAAAGCTATTGGAGAACATAGTCCTTGATTTAGCAGAAAGAAGTTCAAACAAATCTTTGACTTAAATTGTAGGTTAAATGTGGGTTGAGCTAACATGTCTTGACTTGAAATAACTTATCTGAAAGTGGTTAGCTGCATGACAGTTGCTGGCTAAGGTAGATGTCATAAACTTAGCATGAAAATTGTGATAGAGTATTGCGATCACGGTGCATTATTGTGATATACTTTGTGACAACATAACCTCCAACGTAGTTAAATAAGTACCAGGTAATACACTGTGAAAAATGATTATTGTACTTCAGATTCAAAAAATGTCACTGATGACTAAATATAAGCAAAAGTTATATTAAAATTTGGAGGTGACAATACCATTAGAAAATGTTCAAGCAATTGAAATGCATCGTGGTCCACGTATTGTAGAAAATGCCATTATGATGCATACTTATCTGTTTCTCATCTTTTAGATTCGGAGTTTTATGTGTTACTTTATGTTTGCATGTTTTATCTTGTTGTTGTATGCTGTTATTTTATTTAATAAATGTAAGTCTGAATGGAATACATTTGGTAACAACAAATATTTACATTGTAATTAGGTTATTTTAGCATTGAGAGAGGCAGGACTTGAATCATCCAATTTAATACTTGGTATTGACTTCACAAAGAGCAATGAGTGGTCAGGTACTCCCCCGGCCCCATTTTATCTTAATGTGTGGTTCTTATTATGCTGTATAACAGTATAAATAATTAGTACGAAAGAAGCTCACACTTTCTTGACTATAGGGAGATATTCATTCAACCGAAGAAGCCTTCATGCTATTGGTGGCTCTCCCAATCCATATGAGCAAGCAATCTCTATAATTGGTCGTACTTTATCTCCTTTTGATGAAGATAATTTAATACCTTGTTTTGGTTTTGGTGATGGTTAGTATATCTATTTAGCATCACTTGTTCCAGTTATTTCTCTCTTGCTTGAGTAAGTTATCTTATTATGCTTCTTTCTTTGTAGCATCAACACATGATAAATACGTATTCAGCTTTTATCCGGATCACCGACCTTGTCAGGATTTTGAGGAAGCTCTTGCACGGTATAAAGAGATTGTTCCACACATAAAGTTGGCAGGTTTTGAAGATCTTTCCTTCTATTCTCTTTAATTTATTTAAGCACTTTGCCAGGCGTAGATTATTGTGGTTGGGGCGTAGACTATTGTGGTTGAGTAGTTTCCCTAGTTGTCATTGATGCTGGCATTTCAATTTTCAGTTCAGAGTTATAAGATCAGAATGGCATCTGAGTTTTCTATTCGATTGTGTTTGAGCTAATAACTTAATTGCAGTCTTTTGAATGGTTGCAGAGATTTGAATTTGAAAATTTCTTATTCTTGTTACTAGGTCCAACTTCATTTGCTCCAATTATTAATGCTGCAATTGACATCGTGGATAGCAGTAATGGACAGTACCATGTTCTTGTCATTATCGCAGATGGACAGGTATAAAAAAACATGCTTTATGCGTTCAGTTTTAAATCATTCATTTCTTCTTCTATGCATCGGTCTTACCAAATGTTTATTTGATTGCATAGGTTACAAGGAATCCCGACGTACCGCATGGAAGGCATAGTCCACAAGAACAAGCAACTGTTGATTCCATTGTTGCTGCTAGGTAAAGAATTGTTTTTTTAGTGATTAAGATTTTATTTATTTCTTCTTATCGTATTGATCATGGTGTCGATAAACAGTCATTATCCTCTCTCGATTATTTTGGTTGGAGTGGGGGATGGACCATGGGATTCAATGCGACAATTTGATGATAATATTCCACACCGCGCCTTTGACAACTTCCAGGTATCTCTGCAAATTCTTTGAATCAATATGCACAGAGCAGCCTTTCTGATGTTATACAAGTTCAATTTGTCTTTTAGTTGCTAGTATATATCTAAACATTATTGTTATTTTATGGTAGTACTTGGTCATTATCATAGGATTAGCACTACCATTGCAATGTAATTTTCACATATGGTGATCTCTTTACAAAGGATAGTCTTTTCCAACTCATTTTGCGATAGTAAGCACGACCTTTTAACATGTTCTGAGCCACCAATTCTTTGCAGTTTGTCAACTTCACAAAAATCATGTCTGAGAACACGCAAACTTCGAAGAAAGAAACAGCCTTCGCTCTCGCTGCCCTCATGGAAATTCCGTATCAGTACAGAGCTACCCTGAATATTCGTTTTGATAAGTAAGGCCAGACACCAGCTTTCTGTTGATACCTAATTTCAGTTTGGAACAATTGTAAACATAAACTGTTAAAATATGCAGTCGAGAACTAGAATATGGACACGAAAGACCACTTCCGCCTCCACTAGAAGTGATTGATCATGACAATGCCGTTCGATCAATCCCACGCATGACAAACTATGAAACAGTGCAGCCAACAGTCCCTGCACAACCTGTAATAAGTTCTGCAGCAGAGCCGGTAATAGGGTTTTCTTTTACTTCTTTTCCAATTAGATTTTTCACAAAATCTCCATTCAGATTATTATACATTTATTGAGATATGAATTTGCTTCTTCAAGCTCTGCCCTATCTGCCTGACAAACCCAAAGGACATGGCTTTTGGATGCGGTCACACGGTATGTCCATTTTGATCAAATCATATAATTTGTTCAGATTTCCATCACTCGAAAATCAGTGTTTGGTATAGATCTTAAGTGACTGCATTGGGAACACATTTAGAGATACTCTCTTCTGATTAACATTTAGTTAATAGTTTTCATCTTCATCTTGATTTCATTATTAAAAGCCTTTTCCTCTGGGATATATACATCTACATGCCTATGTGTCTCTTACATAACATTGTATTGAAGAATGACATCGAATTTTCAGATTGAGATTAGTGCCTGTGAAGTGGCTAAAGAAATCTGACCTAGATTGTAGCAGATGTTCAACACTGCTGAATATAATATTTTACATTCTTATCGTATTTTGTCTTGTGTTGTTACAAGACTTGCAAGGATTGTGGGGTGACAATCTCATCATGTCCGATGTGCCGGCAGCCGATAACGACGCGCCTGAGACTGTATACCTAATAGAGAGAGCGAATTTTCCGTTGAAGCATATTCAGGACAGCCCCCCCCCCCCAACCCACCCAACCACCACATAAAATCTCAGTCAACAAATTATTTGCATTCCTTCTGCCCCCCCAGAGGTTTCTGCATTGGACTATTTTTGTTTCGCAAAGTTCTTTGCATTTGTTTGATATTAAGTGTTTGTATTTGCAATGTGTACTGCAACTTGCATGAAGAAGATGCGAGGGTGTTATGAAACAAGGGAAAATTATTGTGTACACAAGTGGTGAGGCCATGTACAAAATCTATCTGTGCTTGTAAACTTTTACTTTGTAATGATAATACGTGTTTTTATACTCGAATAGCTTTCGAACTCATAAAAAAGTCAAATTTTGTAATTTGATATGTAAGAACATGGCAGCATTAAAAACTGGAAAAAAATTTACCTTATGTTATGGAAGAAGTCAATGTATTATTAGATGCTTAGTAAATTGATTGGTGTTACTTTCGGGATCTATGAGTAGGTTCAACTTATATAGAGAGGGAATGAATTAAGTTCTAATCCCTTAATTTAGGTTTTTTCCCTCTTAACCCCTAAACCATTCTATTCACGCCAATACATTAACGCGAGTTTTTTCGTGTTGTGGAGTAAATGTCTAAAAAATCCAGGGACCAGATTGATAAGAGTTATCGAGTTCAAGGCTGGAAGTTCCATTATCCCTGAAGAACAAACGAAAATAGAGCTCCAAATCCAAGCTCGACTTCCCAGTCAACCATTATAAAATATTCTCAAAAACTCACAGTTGGCCGTTGACTAGATCTTCCAGTATCTGTATGAATGATTATATCTGTATTTTAACCATGAAAATGGATCGAGATTTCCTCCGTTGGATCCTTTAACATCAACAAGGAACAGTTCTAAACGAACCCAGAACCAAAAATTCATGGCTTCCGATCCCAAACCCAGTTTTAGTTTCCTCTTCTTCCTCCTACTTTCTGTACAGCCTCTCATCTTCTGCCTATCAACCGATGCCCCATCTCCGCCTACAGTCTGCATCGTAGGCAGCGGCATCGGCGGTTCCTCCGTCGCCCACTTCCTTCGCCACTACTTCCACCCCACTCCTTCCCAACCCAACCCTCCCAACATCATCATCTTCGAGCGCAGGTCCGTCGTCGGTGGTCGCATGGCCACTGTCCCCATTGGCGGTGAAACTTTCGAGGCCGGTGCTTCGATTCTTCACCCCAAGAACTACCACGCGGTTAACTACTCGAAGCTTCTTGGGTTGAAGGTCAAACCGCCTCCTGCCTCGGAGGATGACGATTCGATGTCTCTTGGGTTCTGGGATGGGAAGGAGTTCGTTTTCAAATCCCTTGAAGTGGATTCAAAGATTCCATGGGTGCAGAAGATTGTTTCCTATTATAATTCCTTGCGATTGTTTGTTCGCTACCGCTTCTCTCTTCTAAAGATGAGCAGCTTCGTCGAGGTTTTCTCTTTGATTCCGTTTCTCTTTTAAACTAAACGATATTATACATTGCTCCTAGTCATAGGATTCTATTACTAAGAAGCATATCAACTATGGTGGAATTAGTGTCACGTTTTTTGCCATATGTTAATCGATTCTGAGTTGAGAGTAAATAGTAAAATTGCAATGAAATCACCTGATTATTCTCTATGGAGTGATCTCTGTTGCTAATGTGAGACTAAAATGTGATGACCCTGTCCACTGCAGAGTACTGTGGATAGCTTCTTGAAGTACTATGAAAGCCCTGAAACGAGACCTGTCTTTGAAACAGTGGATGAGATGCTTAAATGGGCTGGTTTATACAATCTCACAACTCGAACTTTGCAAGATGAACTCGTTCACCTCAAGATATCTCCATTAATGATAGATGAGCTTGTCACTGTAAGGATTATAAGCTTCCTATATTTATTTGTCTCTCTACATTTTATTTCATGTACCAAGATTATTTTTTCCCCTCGAAAGGGAGGGTGTCTGTTTCCATGGATATGTAAATAATAGCATAGGGTTTCCTAGTGTTGATACAACCTTTGAGAACACAGTTAACTTCCTTGCTAAATGATCAGGGTCTTGATTTTTCCATCAAAATTCATTAAAAGTCGCACATTATAATGCAGTGAAAGGCAATCTGATGTAGAATCAAGAATGTGGGGTGTATATTGAAGGGAGACAAAGGCTGGTAGCTGGGATGTTTTTTCTTAGATGACTAGCTAATAATGTTTTTGACTTACTGATACTTGAGTGAAAAATCATTGCCTTCTGCCAAGTCCATTTGATGATTGTTGTGGAAGAATCTTTATTTAGATGCTATGGAACTTGCTATCTGTGAAGCATGGCTGCAGTAAATTTGTGACATAAACTGCATTCTAGAAGCCCTGAACCAAATAAAAAGAATGAAAGAACTATGACAAATTCTCATCTACTGGATAAAATTGACTCCTGAGTATAGATCTATGTCTGGTGTGCTAAGCTGGTGATTCCTGTGGTTGTGATTACTTTAGGCAGTTATTTAGAGTTGCATTATTTGGTACACCATAGATTCAATGTGATAGAAACATGTAAATATGGGAAATCTTTAGTTAGCAGAATCCATGAGCACATATTGTGTATGAATCTTTGGCAGTAGTCCATTAATTAAAATGGCCTATCTTAGTTTTTTAAAGTTATTTCCTTTGAAGTTCCTTATTATATTTGTCTAAAATTTGCCTAAAGACAGATAAGAGGCATATGCAAACTGTCGCTTATAGTTGGAGGGAAGTCCATTATATTTGTTACCCTATAAAACAGATCTTACCCTGTAAACTAGATTTGCTTAATTGCCAAGTTCTGGGATGACTAAAAGGTCAAATGCCAAATAGGTTCCCTATCGAGAAGTTATAACAAGTACTTATTATGCTGCATTGTGAAGGTCATAACAAGAATCAATTATGGTCAAAGTGTCTCTATCAGTGGACTTGCTGGAGCAGTTTCATTGGCAGGATCTGGGGGAGGATTATGGGCCATCGAAGGAGGGAACTATCAGATGGCTGCTGGACTAATTAAGAGTTCTAACGTTTCTTTGCACCTTAATGAAGAAATTGAATCCATCTCTTATCTTGGAGAATATTATGAACTTAACTCCACAAAAGGAAATAGTTATTCGTGTAATGTCACAGTGGTTGCTACACCCCTTGACGAAGTAAATATCCAATTTACACCTTCGGTTTCGATTCCTGCTAGGAAATTGCAGCATACACATGCAACCTTTGTGAGAGGCATCTTGAATCCGGTAAGTACCCCGGTAGCTGCTAATGGCTTTTCCAGTGAACTTTATTATTGTTTGATTTCTAGTTGTTCTAACCTGCTGCTTTTGTTCCCCTTGGCAAGGCCTATTTTGGCCTGCGCTCTGTCGGTGAGATTCCAGAACTGGTTGGCACATTAGAGGATCCCGACATTCCATTCTCGAGCATTTCAGTTCTCAAGCAACAAGATGAAAATGATATAACTTACAAAGTATTTTCTCGAGAGCCAATGACAGATGCATTATTGGGTAGCATTTTTAGGTAATTCGACGTTTAAGGATTCATTTTCCATACTTTACCTTTGTTCTTAAGCTTGAAAGATCGATTACAGACCTTTGCATTATTATTAGTATTATTATTATTATTAAGATTTTTGCATTATTAAATGATGATGACTGTCATTTGTTGCTGGTATTATTAGTGCAAGGCTGGAGACGGTTCGAATAAACTGGGGAGCCTATCCGCATTATAAAGCTCCAGAAGTATTTGCACCGTATATTTTGGACGGACAACATTTGTATTATGTAAACGCTTTCGAAAATGCAGCTAGTACGATGGAGACGAGTGCGGTTGCAGCTGAGAACATAGCGAGGCTCATATTGTCGAGATATTTTAGTGAAGCACACCCGCATTCATCAAACTTGAAGAGCAAAAGTCCTGATGCACACACATTACACGCCGACTTGTAAACTTATTGGTCTCTCAATAATGTGAAGCAAACCGTAGAACGTACAAACAGAAAGCAATGCTTGCATTGACTTGACACGATATCTAAGAATGCTTTGGTATTTGGTGGCAGTTCTGCCTGATGAAATGTGGTTTTTATTTATTTGTTTTATTGTCCTGCCGTCCACTAAAACTACGTAGTAAAAACTAGCCTGGCTGATTGAACCAGGAACCAATGATTCGTTCGGTCTATTATATATCGGGAATTATTTGAACCAACGAAGACCGGTTGAATAAGAGAAAACTCATGGCCTTAAATTTGCTTTTAAAGATTTGTTTTATTAGTCAGAATTGTTTACAAAATACTATTTATTCATAATTTTTTAATCAATTGATAATAAGAACACATATTGCAGCTTTTCATTTATTGCAATATATATTAGTGGCTTGGCTTGACATCGCATGCATCATATTCGTATTGGACCTCATGATGTCGGTTCACACTGAGGTCAACAATACATGCATGATGCATCCCGTCCGGCAACACTTGCATGATTCGAAAGGACGGGGGCAAAAAGACATTTACATAGGATATTTAGTCGTCGGAGATTATTTATAGCGGAGAACAAAACGTGCACATCCAAGTTCCTTTGTCTAGTCATTTTTAAGAAAAAAATGTTGATGCTGGGGAGTATTCAATTTTGATTTTGTCTTAAATGAAGTAGAATTTTATTAGATTATAATTGTGTTAATCATTTTACTATTCTAGTGATTAACTGATATTATTATTTTTATCATCGGTAACGTTATATATTTTAGGAAAAATTAATACCTAAATTATCAGTTTTGATATGTTTTAGTATTTAAACTTTCAATTTTTAAAATTATATCTAAAGTTTAGTTTTTGACTCGTTTTAGTACCCATATTAAAAAATTATCGTTAAGTTTTGGAAAAAAAATAAAAAGTTGAATACTAAAATCGATCAAAACTAATAGTTTAAGTATTAAATTTGTGTTTAAATACACTTAAATATGCAAGACTGTAAAAGGTAAAAGATGTTGAAATTTATAAACTTAGCATAGGCAAAATAAAAATAAATTATTCGGTCGATATATTTCATAGTGCAAAAGAGAGTAAATTGCATAATTAATTAGTTTGATGAGAGTGAATAAATGACAACCGAAAGAATAAAATAGAAAAGTGAAATTTGTCCAATAATTAGTAAAAGAAGAAGAAGCACGTGGGCCGACCCTGCCCATCGGATTCTTTTCTTTGTAATTCCCTATGCTCCGACTGTTTTCTTTTTTTTTTACTCCTTTTGTCGGATTCCTCAATTTATTTATTTCGATAAATAATAAAACGGCCCATATCGAATCCGACATTATGAAACGGGATATATATATATATATATATATATTCTTTTCCCCACAAACAGTTAGTTGTATGCGTAGTGGGCAATGAATAAATGAAAGCAACGCTTTGTGCAATGCTAAAGGCATCAAATCATGGATTATTAATATTAATATTCGGTTATGAAAAAAAAGAGAGGAAAGAAATAGACTAAATTAAGCGAGAAGAAAGATAAAAGCACACTAGATAGGGGGGCTAAGCAAGCTGAAGCAAAGCCTATACGGTAACCAAAAGTGAACCCTTCCCTTTGCAGCGGAGGAAGTAACATCGGCGTTTTGGTTCGGAGATGAATGTGATCGGAGATAAAGGGGATGAGGGGGGAGAAGGCGGCGGTTCCACTGTGTTGGTGGGTGTCAAATTTGACGCTGACAGCAAGGAATGGCTGACTTGGGCGCTTGTCAAGGTGGCTCAGCCCGGTGATCAGGTCATTGCTCTTCACATACTTGATTCTGCAACCGGTATTATTCCTCACTTCTCTCCTTTTAGTTTAATTTACTATATATATATATATATATATATTTATTTTTAACGGCGTTATTTTCTTGGTGAAATGTTCAATTTTGATTCCGCCAGAGAGTCCGGGGTCGGTTCTGTCTCTTGTGAAGCAATTTGATTATACGCTAGCGGTGTACGAAGGCTTCTGCAACCTAAAACAGGTAAGTTTACTTGTTTTTTTTTGAAATTTTATTTTTCAGAAATTGGGTGTTGAAAATTGGTGGGGGAAAATTATTTCAGGTGGATTTGAAGCTAAAAGTGTGCAGAGGATCATCGCCAAAGAAGATTCTGGTATGGGAAGCCAGGTCTTTCGAAGCAGCTAAGCTAATTCTGGGAACTACCAAAACCAATAACCCGATACAATCGTCTACCTCAGTTGCGAAATTTTGCGCCAAAAAGTTACCCAAATGTTTCTCTGTTTATGCTGTTCAGAATGGCAAAATCTTGTTCCAAAGGGAAGCAATTCAGACCATCTCGAACCGGTCCCAAGGTAGTGATATTTTCCCCAGTTTTAGTTCTAATTATTAGAAAATTGCCGTTTCTCTATTGAATTCTTCTTATTGATTTATATTGTTCTTTGCTGGTTGAACAGACAATGATTCACAGGATAAGAGCCTTGTCCGCTTAGTGTCCTTGCCGAAGAATACAAGAGCTGATAATGGCTATTCAAAATCCGGTTTGTTTTCGAGGCATAAAACGTTAAAGAAGAATTGTGAAGCCTGTGTTTCAGCCTTGAAATTGCCAGAAAATTCTACCTCCCAATCTCCGGAAGAGGTATCCGGAAATGGCAGTGTGGGTAATAGGCTAGATTTGGTACGCTTTCAATCGAGTGAGGATAACGTTGTTCTGGTTAGAAAGTTGCCCGGTTGGTCTCTTCGCCGCTGGGTGTTTTTACCTAAGCACCATCACTTGGAGAATTCTTCTACAAAGAAATCTGTGGACCAATGGGTGTTAAAATTACCAAGCCAGCATTCCTCAGCTGTTGTTTATCCTGATCTACAGAAAAACCGTTCTGGTCAGAAAAAGAATCATTCTTCCGATTTGGACGGAGAAATTGGTGCAATTTTGCCTGTTGGCTGTGAAGCTATTTGTCCTCTGTCTCCTAGCGATTTTCCAAAAGAGCTACAAAGTTTACTGGAGAAATCCTCTTCTTCATGTAGATTGTTTAGTTATGAAGAACTTTTGGAAGCCACCTCTAGCTTCATGGCAGGTTTATCTTCATTAGCAATTCATGTATAAGTATTGAGTTTGGCTTACTTTGGATGTTTATGTCAATGATTCTTATTTTCTGATTTTGCAGAGAATCTCTGGTAGGTAAAGGTGGTAGCAGTCACGTTTACAGAGGGTGCCTTCCTGATGGTAAGGAACTGGCAGTGAAAATTGTTAAGCCAACTGCGAATGCAATCAAGGATTTTGTTCAGGAAATCGAGATCATTACGAGTTTAAACCATAAAAGTCTCATTTCCTTATTTGGTTTCTGTTTTGAGGAAAACAAGTTGCTCTTGGTTTATGATTTCCTCTCCAGGGGAAGTCTAGAAGAGAACCTTCATGGTAAGGACTTCATCCAATTTACTACCTTTTACTTGTCAAATTGGATCTTTTCCTTCCTGGGATTGGTTGTAGTTTACAGTTTTTGATTTACTATATTTCCGAACCTGACTGGCTTCTCTTGTTACAAGGCAATAGGAAAGACAGCAATGCATTTGGCTGGCCGGAGAGATATAAGGTGGCTCTGGGCTTAGCTGAAGTGCTTGATTACTTGCATAACGGTTGTGAACAAACTGTGATCCACAGAGATGTGAAATCTTCGAACATTCTTTTGTCCGATGATTTTGACCCCCAGGTAGCACGTTGAAACAAACCGGTTCTAAAGTTATCTTTTGGCTTTAAGCTTTCCCGGCTCATTACTAGCTGTTCTGCTATTTCAGCTGTCAGATTTTGGGCTTGCTAGTCGGGTCTCAAGTTCTGCATCTCATAGGACTAGCATGGATGTTGCAGGAACCTTTGGGTAACAATCTGCTCCGAGTTTTTCTTGTTTATTACTCACTTTAGATATAGTCGGTAATACTTGTCTGTGACAGTTACTTGGCTCCTGAATACCTCATGCACGGCAAAATGAGTGATAAAATTGATGTCTATGCATTTGGCATCGTCCTCCTAGAGCTCCTCTCTGGTAAAAAGCCCATTGACGATAACCGTCCAAAAGGTCAGGAGAGCCTTGTTATGTGGGTGAGTTCATTATACCTAGAAGCCTTTGTTTATCTGCCTTATTTATTTGAACATGGTATCAGGAGAGTGGTTCTGCACATCTTCATGAAACGAGATAATTGTAACATAATTTAGAGCAGATAAACAATGTTTACATAGTTCAGAAAAACAAGTTTATCTAAGTAGATCGTGCTCTAAATTCATTTTGTTTCTCCCTTGGGCCTTATTCATAGTGTCACTTCAATCCAGTTATTTTCCGAGTTATTAACATTTGGTAATGCTCTGTTGTTAACATCCAGGCAAAGCCAATTTTAAAGGACGGCAATTTCTCTCAGTTGCTAGATCCTCAGCTCGATAGTAGCTACGAATTTCATCAGATAGAAAGAATGATTTTAGCTGCTAACCTGTGCATTCGACGTGCACCACTAACGCGGCCTCAAATTAGCCTTGTAAGCTTACTCTCGATTGACCTCTTTTTCCCTTTCGCTCACTTTGGTTATGTTTATACTGATCTCAGCGTCTTTTTTCTACCAAAGATCCTGAAGCTCCTACGGGGTGACCAGGAAGTAACAAACTGGGCGCAGAAACAAGTTAGGGACTCGGAAGTTGATATTGTTGACGACGGTTTTCATCATACTAACATGGAATCCCATATCAACCTTGCATTACTAGACTTGGAAGACGATTCGCTTTCTGCAAGCAGCAACGAACAAAGTTTCCAAATAGAGGAATACTTGCAAAAAAGATGGAGCCACTCATCGAGCTTTGCCTAGCCATCTCGATGCAGGTGTGTGTTTATCGTTTATGTGATCTTTTTATTTTCTGCTAGTTATTAGATCAGGTCTTGGAAGAGAGGTTGTTTAAAAGAGCTTCCCCACCTTGACTTAGGTTGGATTGTAGCCCATATGATTCCCAATTTTATGTATGGGCTAGTTTTCTGGGAAATAGAGAGGAACAAATGTATACTCAACATGCACATGATTGATTGTAAATAAACCATTCCTTCAAGATTGTAGTGTATGCTGTTTACCTTCACTTTGTTCCTTGTTTAATGAAAGTCAATACTAATTACGCACTTCTTTCGAACACATGATAATTGAAATAAATTAATATATACATAATTTGCTAACTATTGTTGACATAAGTAGTTTAGATTCAAGAATTTGAGCTCCTAAGGCCAAGTTCGAATCCTATCACCGTCACTCTTGGTAGGCAATCTATAAATTCTTATGTAAATCTCAATTGGGTCTTAGCTATGTCTTGGTCCTGTATTAGGAAGCCACCATTGACCTAAACTTTTTGTAACCAAAACTATAAACATAATTTCAAATTTCATTTTAGTTTTTATTTCCTTTAAGAAATTCAACTTTCTTAATATTTTATTTTAGGTTACAATAATCTTGATTAAATAAAAGTTACTAGTCAAGTAAAGATCAGCGGTTGTTGTTAAAGTGACACGTCATATGTATACAAAATATTAACATGACACTACCATATATGCAAGTGATAATATGATACATATTATGTGTTTGAACTAATGATATGACATGCAATACTAGTAGAATATTTTATTTTTATCAAGTTATATTCCTCTAATGAGATGATAACACATCATAAAAAAGATGAGAAACTAAAAGAAAATACAAATGGTGGGACTTAATCTTTAATTTTTTTTCTTGAGTCGAGGGTTCATGAGTAATTATCTTGCGTGTTTGTGTTTTTTTTGTATTAAATAATATTATTTTATGATCTATTATACCGATCATATGAATCATTCGTTATTAAATTTCACATATGGTTTTAAGATCATTGCAGAGGGTATAACCGTTTCTATTTCCATTTGGAATTAAAGTTGCAACTCTCTCTCTCTTCGTGACTTGCTGGTATTTTGTTAGTGAAATATATATATTATAGTATTAGTTATAAATATATTGAAAATGAAGTGCGAACAGAAAGCATGGCATTGTGGCGGGTCGAGCCACCGAAAACAACGTTTTCTAAATACTTTACAGTAGCTACGATGATGAATAAAGAGGAGGGAATTGCTGAACCCGTGCCTTCAATTCTCTCCATTCTTCCATCCATCGACTAAAGCTTGAATTCTTCAGCATTACATCTTCAGACACCTCTTTATTCTCTATTAACTTCCTCGCATATTTCTCGAACATATCGATCTTGCTCCATAACAGTTTTATCTTGCTCACATCTCTCTCACTCGTCGCATTATCCAGCCATTCCCGTGCCTCTTCCACCCTTGCCCAAAAGCACGAATCTTGTGTCAAGCTGGCGAGTTTACTCCTCTTGTGTTCTTCATTTGAACGCTCCTGTCCCTCCACCATTTCTCGAATATTTCGTACCTCCTCTCCCTTCCGTTCTCTATGTAATGCCCGTGTTGGCGGTGCATCCCGGTCCGGTAATAGTCCGCGATGTCGAGCGGTTCAACGAGGAGCTTGTAGGACAGTGAAGCGAATACCCATTTGTCCCTTCTGTCGAAATCGTGTGGTAGCTCGTTGTTTTCCAGCATGTGGATTACGCTGTTCCAGAACAAAGCAAGCTTGTGGCGGTTCATGTTGACCCTGGCTTCTCTTCTTGAGCCTGCCCTGCGCTTGAAGGAATCGTAGTAACCCATTTGGTCATCGGCTCCGTCGCAGAAGGCTTTGTACCACTCGATTTCAGCTCTGAACGGTGCTATCTTGGACAATCTTATTGCAAGGTTGGCGGCGGTAAGATTTGGCCTGTGATCGTTTTGACACATTTGTAGGCACTCCTTGGCCATAATTTCAACATTTTCCCTTAGGTTCCAGTCTTGAACTTGAAATGGTCCCTGTAAGTCCATAATAAAAAAGATTAGGAACTAAATTATAATGTGAAAATTGACCGTGTTATAGGTTCACAATTTACATTACCTTGTCAGTTAAATTTGAAGATTGCAATGCCAATGCCACACCAGCTTCAAAGCTAGAATCAGGTAGGCCATCACCATTTTCATGAAAGCTTTTGGCATTCAAGAACTGCTTACAAACTTCCCCTACATAATCTCCATACTTGAGATGATCCTCAATGCAACAACTTGGTGAACCCATTGCCATCATCAGATACATCATTTGAATAACAGACGCTGCATTTTCAACACAAACGGCACCCTCTTGGCTGCAAAACACATAGCTCCCAAAAGGCCAAAACAGGGTCTCAGTTGACACGTCTTTTGCATGCGCCAACATTTCCATGTCCTTTAAAACACATTGAAAAATGTTGCTGTTTAGATCCTGGGGTAGTTGACACATCCTTTGTATGGAAACGTGGTTCGTGATTTCGGCGGCGAAGAGGATCCTCGGCACGATGTCGTGCTTGGAGACGACGTGGCAGAAGATTCCGCCCCATCTTTGGCGGAGTATCGATCGATGGAGGGCTTCGTTGCCGAGCATCGGAGAGCCGAATGTGATGCACAGCACCGGCATGGTGGACTGGAGATGGCAGAGCAGCCACAGTGCAGACAGAGCGGCTGCTGTTCCGCCTATGGAGTGGCCTGTCATCACTATTGAATTCACTTTCCCTACTAAAGCCGCAATCTGCATCACCATATCAATTTAATTTGGTTGATTCAATGCAACTTAAATCCAGAAAGTTTTAAGAAAATAAATAAATGGTAAGACTGTGTTGTGACTAAACAAATGAGTAAAAAAAATGTTATTTTGTTTTCATAATTAAATTTAATTTTTACAATTATATATTCATCATCCATAAACAATATGTTTCACTCTTATTTCTGCTATACGTATATATGTTTAGTAGTTTATTATTTAATAATTCTAAACTTTAAATCTTAAATCTTAAGTTTCTAACTCATAAATCTTACATAAATAACACATAACAAACATTAGAATCCGCTTGTGAAAAAAAATCACTACCTATATATGATATAATTTTTTTATATTTAATTCTTACAATATATAAAGATAAATAAATAAAAACAACTAGATGAATACGCATTAAGTGGTTGAAAATTTTTGTTTTTAAAATTTTGTTTAAAAAAACAGAAAACAAATTATATAGATATTTTCCCAAAAGTTAATAGGTGTTTATTTAAAATTTATATTAAAATTTATGTATCTTAATAAAGTACTATATTTTTTGAAATATTTAGCATATTTAATAACTAAAATTTCGTCAATACCATATTTAGTTCAATTAATGTAATCTGTTAAACTCATAATTGAAAGCGATACTAATTTTACATTGTCCGGTTTTCTTCGACAATGGTGTGGCAGTCGGGGTGGCTTTATTTGAAGGTTGACCGCAACACTCTGATGAGGTAGCCTTTCTTATTCTTCAACTTTGAATGTGGAATGAACTAGTTAGAATACGATTGAGATGGCTATATTTATAATTCATTTTTTTTGGGTATGACTCGTGTTTATTTTATTATTTTATTTAAAACTAATGTCTTTAATAATGTTTTTTAATACTTCAATTTAAATATCTTTTGAAAATATAATAGCGAGTTTCATTATATTCAGTGGTAGATCTAACATTAATTCTAAAATTTAAAATTATTTGATTATTTATTTGTTTTATTAATTTACAAAATTAGCTGACCCTTATTCCCATATGTAATGGGGTAAGGGGAAGGTAGGATAGTAGACTGCTCCCAACGCCAGGTTGAGAACAACTTTCGTATGAGACATCCGAATTATGAAATACCTTCAGTGGGACTCGATTTCACGACCCCAAGATTAATAACCTTGTGCTCTACCAACTGAACTGAATGATCATTTATTTATTTTATTAATTACGTCTACATTAAAATTTTATTCATTTCAATTCATAAAAAAATTAATATTATTAATATAAAAATATCTATCTTTAATAATATTTCAGGATCTACCACATACCGAATTCAATAATTATTGATTGGTTACTGAAAATTAATTGTGCGTGATTTTAAACAAAATCATGGCGACCGATTCTAACAGGAATCTCGCCTTTTTCACGGCCAAAATATTAGATTGAAAATGACATTGGATGGAACCTTTCTCCTTGAAAACGCAAGGAGCGATAATTAGGGGTCAAATTCCGTCATAGTCCTTGTACTACACATGTGTTGTAGATTTAATCATTGTATTTTAATCGTTATAATTTTTGAATCTTAAAATTTAAATTCAAACAATATATAGATAATATACTTAGATTATGGACTAAAAACGATCAAATCAGGTAATAATTTTTTGAATAAACCTAGACAGTAGGCATATTTACCATAGCATCGTCTGATTTAATAGATTTAACAATAAATGTTTGGACCATGATCAAAATTTTAAAACTGTAAAAATACGTAGATTGAAAATGATCAAATTAGTATATATGAATTCAAGCCATAATGTTTTCATAATATAGGGACTGATAAAAAAAGTTTAATGAAGAAAGTATGGTTAGTGCTAATTTGCAGGAGAAAGATTCTCCAAAACGTTTGCCTAAATTTGGTGACTAATGCCACTAGAATTCAACTTCATTTGTTTGTTTATGTGTAGTTTATCCTGTTGATGTCACTTCTTGGCTTTGCACAAATGAACTAATAACTTTTCAACTCTTGCTCTTCTAGTTTATACTTTCATAAAGCACGCCTCTCCAAAGGCCATTCATTTAATTAATTACAACAAAGAAATAGATAGGTTCATTGAGTCTGGTTTGATTAGTGCTTTTTTTTTAATTAATCTTTTGTTGAAAATTGTAGTAATAACAAAAGCATCTTCCAAAATGAAGCCTAACTTCCATCATAAAAAATTAACTAAAAAAACTCAGTCACCCTTGACGACATAATTATATTTAAATAATATGATTACATTCAGAATTATTAAAATTATAATGGTTTGTTAGGAGGAGGATGGGGATCAAATTATAAAATTTAAAGAAAAAAGTTGAAAATTAAAAATTTTCTTTTTAATCAAAACATTTGAAATAACCATCCAACTCAGTTGGTAGAGC